CTGTTTGTTACGTCACTACATTCAAGCTGAACTACTTTCTATAGAAGCATTATTGAACATACTCTGCCTGTGGAAACTACATTTTTTTACTGATCTCAATAGGACATTAGTTTACATTTTCACCTTTATTACTGGAACATTAGTTTTCATAAACCAACAATTAAGGATTTTTGAATGTTGAAACGTGAGCTGCCTTCAAGTGGAGTTTTGCAAAATTTAATAAAATTGCTCTTTATATTGGTTCAGTTCTTCAGTGAACCTTTTACATGGGACTTCCTTATATGTACATTTTTTAAAAAGTAAACAAATTTCTGCAACACTTTTAAAAATGTAAATTTTTAAATATTAAAATTTATTGACAAATTATTGTAAATAGAAATTAGTTGCATCTTGAAATGGAATTTTTTAAGTGATAACTAGATTTTTTAAAAATATCCAAGAATGCTAAAAGTCATACTGGGGTTGAAAAGTAGTGAGTTCAATATTCATCCCTTTTCACCTTTTTTTCAGGCAGAATGCTTTTAAAAGGGGGAAAAAATCTTGTCATTGTGCAATTGTAACAGTTTTTCAGAGAATACAGTTTTGTAGTATATCTAATGCATGTTTATTTTCGAACATTGTGTTATTGTGTCTTGTGTTAATAAACTAAAAAAATATTAGAGAAAGCAAGATTTTGCTTTTTCCACATCCCGAGGATAATATATAACATCACATAGAGCTTGATAATAGATTGAATATCACAATTGGACAGATTTTCACTGCAAACTGTCCATATATGCTATTGGTTTAAAATCTTGCATTTTCTAATTTGAATAGTGTTTAAGGGCAGTTTAATTCTGTGGATGGGCAATGGTTTGCAATCATGTGTTACTGAATTTTATTGAGCAAGACTTACAAATAATTACTGCTGCTTGGCCATTTCACCAATTGCTCTAATAGCCCAATCTATTATTATTTCTGAGAAGAAAATCCCTGAGTTTTAAAAGAGTTATTTTTGAGTTAAAGTATAGTGACAATATTTACTAACAAACATAGATTCACAGAAATAACTACTTTTTTATGCAATATATAAATAATTCTAAGATTGCATTATTTTTACTGCTTGCTTCTCAAGAGGTAACACCAACAATTCTCATTTTGAAAACATACTAAAAAAAGATTAATCAGACTTTGGCCTAGTTAATATATAAGAATGAAAAAGTAATTTAGAAGCAGTGGAAAGGTGTTAATAGTGTACGTTAATAAATTATTAAGTTTTTTTTCTGCTTGCATTCTTGGAACTAAAAGAATGTATTTAGAAGAGAAAGAAGATGAATCAATGATTGAATCTTATTCAGTTTTTTCCATTATATTGTTAATTTTAAATTGATAGATTGATTAATAGTGAGTGTGCAGCTGTAATGGAAAGTGTTATTTGCCATGTTTCAAAAGATTAACAATCTGTCAATGTTTTAATATTATGCCTGCAGCTATTACTGTTTTATGACTTGTGACAGAAAAACAGATTTAATATAATTGAAACAATATAGCATGCTATTTACAAACTATTATATAAACATGAATACTCTTTGCACTTAACTTTCTAATTAAGCGAGGTAGTTCAAAACTTCCCATTTTGCCTGTGGCTAACTAAATCTAAAATTTGACTGAAGTATTTGCCTAACCAAGGCTATGATAAATTGTCCAACATTTTTTCAGACTGTGAAATAGCTTGAATGTGTGTTGTTATTGTTTTTTATTAATTCTAGATACACATCAGTTTCAGAAATACCAGTTGGTTTGGAGAGAAATGATAACTTACACTGTGTCCCTGGTGGATCATGATTAACAGCATCCATAGCCAAGTGGATTAATCCCAAATCACAGCATGTGACCAATGACACGATATAAATATACTGTAGGTAGTCTTTGACTTAAAACACACCTGGGATCCGAATTCCCATTGCTAAGCAAAGCAGTTTGCATCTGATTTCACAACCTTTTTTTGTCATGGTTGTTAAGTGAAACATTGCAGTTAAGTGAATCTTGTGGTGGTTAAGCAAATCCAGTTCCCCCGATTGACTTTGCTCATCAGAAGCTAGCTAGGAAGGTTGCAAATAGCAGTAGCGCTTAGACTTATATACTGCTTTACATTGCTTTACAGCACTGTCTAAGTGGTTTTATAGAATCAGTATATTGCCCCCACAATTTGGATCCTCACCTCGGAAAGATGGAAGGTTTAGTCAACCTTGAGCCTGGTGAGATTTGATCTGCCAAATTGCAGATAGCTGGCTGTAAGCAGAAGTAGCCTGCAGTATTGCACTCTAGCCACTGCGCCACCGAGTGGCAATCATGACCCTGGGATGCTGCAATCATTGTAAATGCATGCCAGTTGCCAATTTTGATCACGACCATGGAGATGCTGTGGTGGTTGTAAGTATAATAGCAATAGCACTTAGACTTATATACCGCTTTATAGAGCTTTATAGCCTTCTCAAAGCGGTCTACAGAGTTAGTATATTTTCCCCAACAGTTTGGGTTCTCATTTTACCCACCTCGGAAGGATAGAAGGCTGAGTCAACCTTGAGCCTGGTGGGATTGGATCTGCCAAATTGCAGTGGGAATAGCTTGCAGTACTGCACTCTAACCACTGCGCCACCAAGGCTCAGGACTGCTTCTAAGACCATTGTAACTTTGAATTGTTAGGGTTGTTAGTTACCATTATGTACTTGGGTCCTTATGATTGATGCAACTTGGGTTGCTATGATTGATGTCGTGTTCTGCTCCCGGCTTTAGATAGGGTAATATATTTGCATCCACCATTAAAATATTTTAAAATATTTTATGGGTTTTAAAAATTAATTTAAAAAATTAAAATTAAAGATTTTTAAAAATCTTTGTTTAAAAATTAAATTTAAAAGATACGTTTGGACATATGCACTATGGTGTACAAATTGAAAATACTTTATATAAAATGCCATGTTTCAAATTTATTTTTGGACTCAATAGGGAAGTGATATAAAGAACTCAAGTCATTGCAATCTGAACCATCTCCCATGGTTACTATTAATTTTTTATAAGTGTTCAAATTACTTGGTTCACTGTTACCATGGGATTGTAATTAGGGTTTTTTGTACTTGATTTATGTAGCTTGAATGATCAAACTTAATTAATATTCCATTGACTTCAATTATATTTTCAAGCCAAGTGCAATCACTTCAGGCTCCTTTCAGTAATTGTTATGGATTTCTAACTTTATTTCTGCTTTTTCAGTCTGAGCTATTATTCATCCACCTGCTTCCTTTCATATAATTTTTAAACCTGTTTTCTTTCTTGTAAAACTAAAGGTTATTCACAAAACCATCTGCAGAAAAAAATCTCAAAGTTTAGGGAATTTAATAAATTTTTGTAGCCCACCCAGTATATTCTAGGTATTTATTTAAATAAGATGCTGTTTTATAGGCAGAGGGTTGAAGATCTACAAGGTCCCTTCCAACTCTATTAATCTTAAAATTCATTCTGATATGAATTTAAGTTTTAGTCATGCTGTAGATCATGTTTCTATGCCAGGAATTAGACTATAGTCATGACCAGCATTACAAATGAGCATTAAAAATAAAGTGAAGTGAAATGAAAAAGACAAATAATATTTAATCATTGGTGGTGGATTGCGCAAAATCTGCCAAATTTTGCAGACACTATAACAAATGTTGGCTACATTGAAAGAGAGACTATATTAGACTGAGGTTGATGTTTCCCCGATATTTTATCAGGTGAGGTGTTATGAAAGGGGTCCTTGAGTTCTTATACAATAGGGCATGAGCTGTAGAATGTTGAAGTAAATATAGTAGCACTAGACTGCTGTTCTAGTTTCTTTTTAAAAAATCCCTTTGTTTCAATTCTTGGTTGGCTGGCACTCAAAAAGTAATTCCACCTGCAAATTGGTAAAGAGAGATTATTCTTCTCAAAGCCAAATCTTGGTAAAACTGATGGCCAGGCCACTGAGTCAACATTTCCAAAACCGGAGACTTGTTTCCTATAACCATTCATTCATTCACTTAATTGTACAGATAAAATCTGCGATTTCAGGAACAAACATGCTAGCATTTGTAGAGTTTTAAATACAGGCTGTTTTAAACATTAGGGCCCCCAAATCTTTGCCAGTATATGCTTTCCTCCATTTCACCCGGGGTTTCAAGAAATGGTCCCTAAAGACTGGCTTCTTTCCAAAACAAAAGCTGCAATGCACTGAAGGTCAGTTGTTATGCAGTGAGGTCTCCCAGATTTAATCTCTCATGTCTCCTAGCACGATTGACAAAAAATATATAACCATAAAAGCTCACGCCAATTTGTCTGGTTAGGTTTTGTATGTGTGAATTCAGGAATTCAAGCAAACTACATTTTTGCATTTCTGAGACAAAATCGTGTTAACGTACTTAAGTGTTTTGCTGAAAACTCTCCAGAGAATCCGAGGTCTCTGAAAAATGATTAGGACATTAAAAAAAAAAAATCCTCGCAAAACAAGAATTGCATCGGTAGTGTTGCGAAAAAGAGCGCATCAAGGTATTCATGTAGCTCCAGCCACTAGGAGCCAAAGTAGAGTTCCAAGAGCCATGCCCGCCTAATTCGCTCATGTATCCCTATAGACCAAAGCGATGTCCCAAGAGAAGGCGGTTTCTCATGTTCCAGGATAGATTGCAGAGATTGTCAGAAAATAAGAAAGGGCGTCGCTAAAAAATACGGTACTCCTACCGATTGCTTACTTAGACCGTATGGGGTGTTGCAGAGATCGATCGCTTTAGCCCGGCGAAAAATTCCGCCGGGTCCCACGATTCCGTCTATGTGGCCTCGTCTAAAACAGATCGGGATCCCGTCTCCTCCACTGTATCTACTCTAAATAAAACGCAGCGTCCCCTGACAAAAGCTGCAAAGAGCTCTGAAACGCAGCTCTCCTTCACTGAGAGGCCAGAGGAAAACAGGCAGGCGAGGGGTGGGGTTTCCTTGAGAAGCGCCGCCCACTTCGCTGGGGCATCGGGGGGTGCGCAGAAACACGCAAGGCGAGGAGGGGCCCCGGGTCCTTGGCAGGAAATGGCTCTGCGGCTGTTGCTCCGGCAGGGCCGCTCTTTCGTGTCCGCCGGCGGACAAGCCAGTAAGCGGGGAGCGGAGTTTAGCGGCGGCGGCGGGGGCGGGGGGGGGAGAGGCTGAGTACGGGGAGGTGGTAGGCCATGGGTGCAAATGCTGCAGGGCCAGTTCTGGACTGCAGCCTCTGCCTGTCTGCCTCCCCCACACTTATGTGTGGTACATAAATTTAATAAATAAACGAATATTTGTTACCCACCTTTTTTCTACCCACCTTTCTTTCCAAGCCTTTGACCAGGTTGGTCAAAGACTTGTTCTGTAAATTGTTTTGGGAAAGAGGTTGGATTTGTTGGTAAAAAAATGGAACTTTTGTGGAGCGAGAAGTGAATTATTGATGGATTTGTAGTAAAAAATACTTTTTAACTTACCTTTCCTTTGGCAAGAAAGGTGTGTCTAAAGAGAGAATAGAATATATATTGTAGAATATATACACTTGTTGACTCTGGACAGTTGATAGGTAACAAAGGAAAATCGTAAATATACATGCTTCTTTGGGAAGGAAAATGTAGTATTGTGTGTGTAGTGGAACAGAACTCTGAACATGCTGTTCAATGTAAGCATACCATATGCACCATTATATGAGATTCTTACCTGCATGTCCCTGTAAACCATGATACCATATGGGACTTGTGTCATACTAAAGGTGTCCAAATCTGGAGTAGTTTCCATTTTTACTTAACTGCTAACCGGATTTGAAAACAGCAATTACAGCAGTTGCCCTGCTCCAAATGCAGTCTTGTAAAACTGCACAACAAAGAGAGGCACTTCAGAGTATATCTGTCTTTGGAGATTATGATCACAATGAAAACCTTACTGTATTTACTGCACAGAGAGGTTGGTTGCAGATGATAATTAATGCAATCCTGTGCATGCTCATATAGCACTCTCTTCAATGCACTTCCTGTTTCTGACTCTGTGCCTCTTCCTTCTTAAACTGGCCTCTGACACAGACAGGAATCTGTCCATAAACGTTCTGTATGTATTCATATTTATATTACGTGATAACCATTTTTGGTTTTGTCCACTTCCATCGGCCATTTAAAATCTAGGCCTTCTATAACATACATCTTATGTTTATATGTAATAGGCTCAGCTTTTCTACACAGTTCTTTGGGAAGTAATACCTCTAGTGCAAAACGAACTACTGAATCCACCAAGCAACCACTTAAGAAGCCAGTAACACCAGTAGGTCGTTTTGATACACCAGAAGAATCAAATGTAGAAAAGGAGCCACTAGAAAGTAAGTGCGGATGTGTAAAATATAAATATAATAAATGGTGTTAAAACAGGTATAGTCTTGAGATGCTATAAATACCTTCAGGGAAGTAGTAAAGGAAATTCATCCATGGAATTATTATGTCTAGAAGATTGTTCAATATTCTGGAAAAAGATGTTAAGGGAAAAATTGAAAATATTTCTGCCCCATTGATTCTCCATTTACATTTTTCGTGTTTTGTAACTCTGAGCCAATTTTTCTTTTATGTCCATCTCCTCAGAAAATAGAATTCCTACATGATGTTTTATTAAATCTTTACTTACTTTACACTTCTTTTTTGGCTTTCCAAATACCATTTATTGTTTAAATATGAATGTACAGCTAAATAATTAATTTGTGATATATAATATTTTGGACAATATATCATTAACTTTGAGTTTTTCAAAGATTTTCATTTCAAAGAAACTATATACGTATGCTATGAAGCTATAAGGTAGATAGCTTCATATGTGCTTAAATCACTTAGCATAACTTTGCATTTTCTAATATAATTTACTTTTAAAATTGCTGCTCTACTGAAGTACAACAAAATATGTTGGCTCAGATTTATCTCTGACCCATGAGTCATGGGCAAATGTGCCATGCAGGTACAGTGTCACAAGATATTAGGAATGAACATAATAAATTCATAATATGTACACATTTTTAAGTGTGCTTGTCATCTGCTACCCATGGATACTTCTTTCCATTACATGTTGTTTTAAAAAGTCTGTAATTAAATAATTGCATACCATGGAACCATTCCCAAAGTGGTTGTTCCCAAATGCTATTGCTTGTACAACTTCCTATAAATTTATAACATCCAGTCATGCTGAAACTAAAAGCCAAAACGTGTGTCAGTGTATTCATATTCATTGAGCTCAAGGCAGTACACATATATAATATTCCTGCATCTGATTTTCCCCTCAACAATAACCCTGTGAGGTGGGTTGGATTGAAGAGAGCGACAGGCCCAAAGTCACCCACCTGGTTTTTATGCCTAAGGGAAGCCTCAAAACCCCTATTATACCAAACTACTATGTCATTTGAGTTCTACTTGGGTGTATCATAGTAGTTTTAGTCCCATTGATAAAACTAGAAGAAGTAGATGGTCAATTCATTTGGTTTATATAATAAATAAGGCTCTGTAAAATATGACTTCCGATTTTGCAAAAGTGACTTTTCTATGATATACATAAATTTTATTTTCTATCTTATTCTGGAGTACTGTGGTATTCCTTCCAAATTCTCATGGTGGTGTTATGCTTACTTTATTACTAGTGGCAGCCAATAATTCTTATTTCCTCTACTCTGGGTCTCCCTGGGTGGCCTTATGTCTGACTTTGAAGAAACCCAATATAAGCATTTCTCGTGGATATACAGATAGTCCTCAACTTAACAGCAGTTTGTCTAGTGACCAAAGTTATTTATCACTGAAAAAAGGGACTTATGACTGTTTTTCACACTTATGACCATTCTAGCATCCCCCTGGTCATATGATCAAACTTTAGACGCTTGGCATCTGACTCAGATTTTGATAGTTCAAGTGCCCCAAGATCATTCGATCACCTTTTGCCACCTCTGTCAAGCAAAGTCAATGGGGAAGCCAGATTCACTTAACAAATGTGTTACTAACTTAACAACTGTAATGACTCATTTAACTGTGGCAAGAAAGATTGTCAAATGGAGCAAAAATCACTTCAATGTTTTGCTCACCCACAGAAATATTGGGCCCAATTGTGGTCATAAGTTGAGGACTACCTGTAAGTAAAACATAGAAAGCCAGGGAGGCTGCAAATACACCGAAGAGATTATTGTATAGTATCAGACAGGATATTCACAACTATTCTTTGGCTATCTCAGAACTTTGTAAATGCAAGAATAGCAATAGCATACTTACATACTGCTTCACAGTGCTCTCTAAGTGGTTTATAGAGTCAGCATATTGCCCTCAACAATCATTTTCCCAAACTCAGAGGCTGGAAGGCTGAGTCAATTTTGAGCCGGTGAGAATCGAACTGCCGAACTGCAGTCAGCAGAAGTAGCCTGCAGTACTGAATTCTGACCATTGGGCCACCATGGCTAATAAAGCTTGCATGCGTAAATACATTGCCAACATTCTTTTATTTAAAATGCATTTGAAAAGCAGATTCTCTTCCATCAAATTGACTGAGAACTAGCAGACTGAAATGCTGGATAATTTTTGCCATTGTGCTAGTAATGAACTGAGTGCTAGAAATAAGGAAAACTCTCCAACTAAATCAAACTATGGGTGATATTTGAATGCATCTGCTATTCATTAGGATTTTTGCATATTTTCCCCTTTTTTTTAGAATTTTCCGATGATATCAATCCAATGACAAAAGAGAAGGGTGGTCCCAGAGGCCCTGAACCAACTCGTTATGGAGACTGGGAACGAAAAGGACGCTGCATTGATTTTTAACTTCTTTTTGGGGGAGAATGACATTTGAGTGAAAATAAAACCATTGTTTGGGGGGAGGGGAAACACCACTTTACCTACAAACAACCAAAATCTTCGCATTTATCTGTAACAAAGTGTCATATTTGTAGTATTTAACTAGAATCTCTGTGAATATGTATGGGTAAATATAGTGAAATTGCATTTTAATAAACCAATTTGTATAGGTTCTCCACTGTTGAGTTGGGTGATGGCTATGACATTATTAAAAAAGATGTAAAACTCTACATGAGAAAGTCTGGTAAAAGTAGAGTTTATGGGTTTTCAAAGTGAGTATTTTGACGTTTTGGTGAAGTTCCACAATGGTGATAGAAATACAATAGAATTTTATTGCTGTTGCAATATTAAACATACTTATTGAAAAAAAACATTGAAATTATTTTTCTTATTGAATTTATTTCACTTTCAAAGAACGCTTCTATATTGGATTTAATATGACAAGAACAGTTCATTAATTGGAATTTGTAGAATATCTTCAGATTTTATGACATACAGTCCAAACCAAAGTATGGCAGAGAAAGATTTATTGATTTCTAAATAAAGTAATGAAGCAAGTAATTTTTCCACATGTATAAACATAGTTTAATCATGATGGAGGGGACTGCTAAACCTTTAACTATAAAATATACCTAAATTAGCACACTAAAGTGTTTCTCCAACAATACGGCCTCCACCAATAGGAAGCCCCACCATGTTTTATTGGCTTAAAATCAAATTAAGTCCCTCCCCCCAAATTAAGGCCCATATTAAACATGTGAAATGGGGGGGAAATGACGGGAGGGGGTTGCCGTTAGAAAGTACTTTTGTTGCATGCCCGGATATGGTGCTGCCTGCGTTGGTGGGGCACTTCATATCGGGAGACCTTCCGCCACCATTGTTTTCCCTTCTCCCTTGCTGCCGCGGCGTTAGAGCAATGCCGTGGCATTTGGCGCAGCCACGTGCGGCCAGCCAGGGCTCCTCCCTGCAATCAGAGCCCTGCGGAGACACTTGGCTTCAGGTGTTCCTGTCGCCGCCTTCCCTTTGCCTTCGAAGGTAAAGCGAATTATTTTAAAAATGACACCCTACTACAACAAAGCCTCCCCTGCCCGAGTGGGCAGCCCAACCCCACATGGGGAGGCGAATCTCCCAGGGCCGCAGCGCAGGATCGGCCCACCCCAGGAGAAGCACCCAGCTGCCATCCCTGCCTGGCGCCGGGCAGAGCGCGAAGAGCTTCGCCTGGGGCGCCCAGCACAGCTGATAGGTGGGCCCTCCTTCCCGGCAGCAGAGCTCTCACCAAGGCAGTGAGCGCCTCCCCGCCGGACCCTCTGCTCATCCCGCCAGGGCCGCACCGGAGCCGTGCGGGCTGGGCAGAGCGGGGAAAGCGAATGGGCTGCCCTCTCGGGCAGGGGAGGCTTTGTTGTAGTAGGGTGTCGTTTTTAAAATAATTCGCTTTACCTTCGATGGCAAAGGGAAGGCGGCGACAGGAGCGCCTGAAGCCAAGTGTCTCTGCAGGGCTCTGGTTGCAGGGAGGAGCCCTGACTGGCCGCACGTGGCTACACCAAACGCCACGGCAGCAAGGGAGAAGGGAAAGCAACGGTGGCGGAAGGTCTCCCGAACATCCAAGCTGTCTCTGCCCGCTCACCCGAGGATGCAAGGTGGGGGATTAAGTCGACCCTGAAAAGACGGCCTAGCCATTTTTTCAGGGGTCAAAAAAAAAAAATAAGGTCCGGCCTTATTTTGTGATAAACACGGTATTTAGGCCATTTATCTATATTTAAACCAAATGCACAAAATAATTCATAATAATTGCAAGAAGATTGTTAATTATTATCTATTAGGTTTATGTATTATTTTTAGAAGTGTGATAAACTCTGAAAGTGATTTTTTTTATTTCAATCTATTTTATTTATTGTTCCTCTGCTAAACAACTTAATGAATTGTTTATCCATATATTTAGAAGAAGTGGCAATCTGGATTATGCTATCATTATCTGATTCAGTTTTTATTTAAAGGTTTCCCTACGAAACTGTTAGCTTATTTATAAATAGCTAGAAATGTGAATTCTCAGGTGGAAACACATTCAGGTTTTCTGAACGGAATGTATTTTCATTTATATCTACAGTGCTTTAGAACATAGCATATTAATATTGATACAAATGTCCATAGAAACATATTGTGTTGAAATAAATCTAGTGACAATGGGTAGTTTGTTTTGAATATTCAAAACAATTTCTCCAATTTAACTGCTTTTTTTATATGAATGGGTAAATATTTCAGGTTTGGAAATCTTGAGATAGGGTGGGATCATATTCCTATATTTTTTCCAACATTGACTATGAATTAACTATAAATCTTTCATGTTTTCTCTTCTTAAGGTCAAAAATACAGGGTCCAGCCATGTTTGGTCTCTGGAGCATTCCAGAGCTAAAAGATTAGACATGACCAGTTAAATACGCAGACATAACCATTCTTTTCAGGTTCCCAACAGCAGAATTTTTGGATCTCTCCTGAACACCCATTTAAACCTTTTCCTATTTTTCTTTTACTGTCTTCTAAAACCATCAATTTTTTAAAGTCAGTGCTGATACCAGCTCACTGGTGTTAGACATAGTGCCTCTCTGCTGGGGAGATGATGATCAGATGAAATTGTTACTTAGGAGATAACCTGAGGTCATGGAATAGCTATCGGGAGCAGCTAACATCTTGTAGGGGTGAGATGAACTTACATGTTGTTTAGAATTAGATGTCTGAAGCCAGAGATTTTGAACATAAGGTTGTAATCTTGTTCATTCAGGCTGTCCTTGTGCTACCCAACAGATAGTATAGGATAGGATAAATGGGACTCACTGTATGGGCTTGTGAAAGTAGAAATAACCATCTCTCTCTGAAAAAGAGGGGTATCTTCCCTCCAAAAGAATACAGGCACTGCTTGACTTACAACCACAATTGGGAACAGAATTTCTGATGTTAAGCAAGGCAGTTGTTAATTGAGTCATGTCCAATTTTTTAACCTTTTTGCCACAGTTGTTAAGTGAATCTTGAGGTCATTAAGCAAATCCAGATCACCTTCGATTTTGTTTTGTCGGAAGCCAACTGAGAAGTAACAAATGGCAATCTTATGACACCAGGATGCTGCAACCATTGTAAATAACATACTATTTGCCAAGTGGTGAATTTTGATCATGAAATTTTGATCCTCACATGACCGTGAGGATGCTGCATGCGTCACTTTCTTTTAGTGCTGTTATAACTCCAAACAGTGACTAAAATGGTTGTAAGTCAAAGACTACCACTATTGCATATAATTCTAGTATGGACAAAAGCAACATGCAGTTGAGTTTAATGCAGTTGAACTGCCATGCTGGGCATTACTAGACCTGTTCATTCCTCTCTTGTCCCTGACAAACTCTCAGTATAGCATCTCTCACTTTTCCCACTACCATCCAGCCTGCTGGAGTAAATGGTAACTTCACTCCAGTTTTGGAGTGGAGGGGCGGTGGGTTGGTGCTGTCACAGGGACTCTATCCTGCAGTTAATCGAAATTGCTGCTGTGGGTGTTACCTACTGGAAGTGGGAAATGCTGCTATCATTGTGCCTGCCCATTTTAGTGGTAACTGTTCCTAATCAGCCTCAGCCTTTTAAAGACTCTCCTAGTGATTCTTGTTGTTGACTTGGGAGCATGGAGGCACAGCAATAAGAGCCCTTGTTGGTCCCCCTATTCCAATGTAGTTGGGACATTGCTATTTTGATAAAGGGACACCATCTTGATTACTACCACTACTCAATTTGGTTCTGGAAGCTGTTTGCCTGGTCAGATGTTTCCCTCATTACCACTACCCCTCTGCTAGCTTGACTACTATAACGTGTAGAATTAATCCTTTCTTGTCAGTTCTGTCTTAGCATCCTCTGGAAGGCAAACAGAAGTCCATTTTTTTGCCAGTTAAAGCCTTTTTCCCTGCAGATAATTTATAAACTATTTATCATGGAGTTATATAATAGGTTATAATTTATATAAAGTTATAGTTATATAATAAGTTACATAAATGTGTGTATAAGCGCACAATTGTGCCTACCATCCCTGTCCTATTATCCCCAATTATTAGTTCCTATTTCATGTATTTAAACTAATGTTTATTCATATTATTATATTGCAAGCATTTGACTAAATAAATAAATAAACAAATGTGAACAGACAGTTGCACAAAGGATTAGTGAAATTCTAATTGGAGTTGGATGTGATTTTGTTTTCACGCTTGATCTATGTTGATTGATAAATGTCATATGCATAGTCTATAAATACATCAGTATTCCTAAAAAAAATACTGCCCTGAGTTAATGAAACCTTATAGTTATCCTAGAATTACACAATAGAATCTACAACATGGAAAAACTGAAAGAAGGGGTATAATTTGAATAAAGGAGAATAAAATTAAAATTAGACAGGCTCATTACCCTTGATGAGAGGATAAAGAAAAATTAATTCCAGGAAGTATTTTCAAAGGTATTGTAAACCTTATGGCAAAAGAAAAACTTCCAATTTAATTTGTTTTAGCCCTAAAGAAAAAAAGTGGTTTCTTAGAGAAATGTCAGATCTATATAAAGAAGAAACAGTCTGCCTCAGAGGAATGCAAAAATGCTGCAGGATTGATGAGATTTGTCAGAACATTGTACATCAGGCTAATTATGTCAATCATAACAAAGGACAATTAAATCACACAGCAAATAAATTATGCACAGGTGGCTCTAAGTAGTTTATTTTCAAACCGAATTATGATGCAACAGCGTTAAAAAGATGGTCTTATTGCTATAGCAATTAGCGTTGGGCAGAACAGAAATGTTGTAGAGAAATGAAAAGATACGCAGAAAGAAGATGCTAGATATGATGGCTTTTAAAAATGCATCATTTATGTGTGCAAATATAGGAAGATTTGTTGCGCAATCGTGAATCACGGAGCAGGAATGGGACAAGGACAGAGCTTGGAGTGTAATAATAACATCATTTTCATGTTTCTACAACAAAAATATATTCTGAGCTTGATTTCTAAAAAAGAAAAGCAGGAGAGACATCTATGGATCACAACTAAGATTTGTTAATCACTAATTATGATTGTAAGATCCAATGATTCCTCAATTTGGGAGAGAACTGAACCAAAGTATTGCTTGGATACTTGCTAGTGAAGAGGAAGTTCTTCATCAGCCTTTAGTTTTAAAATTAATGAAATTATTATGAGCATTTCATTTATTTATTTATTAAATTTATATATTGCTCATCTCTTTGTTGCAGTGACTCCAGGCAGCTGATTTTCATTTACTAGTTATCTAAACTAATAAAAAATACTTTTATATAATCAAAGATTAGATAAACATATGAAATAATAAA